TCCCCAGACTAGGAGGACCGGTTTGCTGTGCGATGGCCAGCCTTAGAGAAGCCACTATCCTGCAGCAGTACTTAGCTGGGAGGCAGCGCAGGGCCAGGTGAGGGGGTCAGAGCAGGCACTGGGGGGCTCCAGAGGCAGAGGGCTAGCACTGGTGGGTTGTGAGGGTGAAGCTAATATTGGAGGGCTTGTGGGGGGGTGGATCTAGTACTGCGGAGCTCTAAGAGGTGGAGGGCTGCCACCGAAGAGGCTGTGGGGACAGGGCTAATATTGGGGCTGGCACGGAAGGTTTCGGGGGAATTGGGTGCAGTGGGGCTCAGGAAATAGGATGCTGTCACTGGGAGGCTAAGAGGGCAGGAGTCTGGCATGGGGGGGTTGGGTGCAGGGGACTCTGGGGCCAGTGGCTGGTGCAGAGGAGTATGGAGGGGTGGGAGGCTCTAGGGGATAGGGCTAGCACTGGGAGGGCCTGGAGGCCAGGGTCTACACAGCAGTTATTTTGAAATAATTTTGAGATGGAGGACGACTTACTGACTCCTGTAACCCTAATTTCACGAGGAGTCTTGTGAATTCCTGTTGTGTAGATCGCACCAAAAGCAGAGTTAATTTTTTTCATAGCTGAAGTTGTGCATCTTACTTTGACTTTTGCATTGCAGTGCGGATGTGCCCTTGGGGGCCGTCTCTGTATAAAAGAAACAGAGGCACAGCTGTATTTTTCCTTTGCAGGTCACCTTTAGGCCCTTTAGTTCCATCACACAAAACTATCTGCCAGCCTGGCTTCAGAGACACTTGAATTCTTATTGTCTAATCTTGTGACAATCCAATTTATAAATGGCTCTCTTGAATTATCCATGTTAAATAAACTGCTTCATTCATGTTTTCTAGTTTCCTTCATCTATCTCTTGGTATTGAGATAACAGACCTCATTTTCATTATTGCCTACGCCAGTGGTCACCAACCAGTACATCAGGATCTACTGGTAGATCTTGGAGCCTCTGACAGGTGATTCTGACTGGTTTGGCGGGAAGCTGTCAAGTGCTGGCACTTCAGTTGCCCGTCCACCCACTGTCATGCTGCTCCTTCCCTCTGCCTTGGAGCTGCCCTTTGGGAGCCTCCAGCTTGCTGTGCACTGTGGGGGACGCTGATGTCAGGGTGTCCTTCCTTTCCCCCACTCCTGAAGCCTGTGTCTGCACAGAGAGACGGGGATGGAAGGAGCCTGGCAATGCACAGATCTGGGTGGGTGTGTGTGTGTGTGTGTGTGTGTGTGTGTGTGTGTGTGTGTACAGGGGGGTTGTTGTCATTACTTTTACTACTTGCAAAGTGGGTTATTTTTGGTTTTTGACTGGTCTGTGTTTAATTCTGGGTTTAATTCCAACTCCACTGCTTAGAAAGTCATGTTTTAGTACTTCCACGTGGAACAATTCTTGGATAAGTGGCTTTTAAAAATGTGACAGTGATTAGTTACCAAAATGGTTTCCATCCCCAGGGAAGTGAAATTAACACAAATCTCTTGCCTCCTGGCACAAAGAAAGGGCAGCAGAGGAAGCTCAATGCTGAAGAAATTAAATCTCCATCTTGCCAGCCATCCTAGGTTAGTTTTAACACAAGACTGCACAAGAAAATTCAACTTTCATTTAAAAAGAACAAAAAAAACTTCATGGTTACTGAGAGAGGCTTCAAAACATGAAGCAAGTGCAAGCTAAAGAGAACCTTGATGTATTAATACAAAAGAAAACCCAAATATAATTTTCTAATCAGCATCTCTGTTAATCCTTGGTTAAAGATCTGGAAAACATCGTGCACCTCCAATACACAAGTATATTTCTCTTGTGTTCCCTCATCCAATTCCTTACCACTGCAAACAACTTTAATGCCAACATGAGAGAGATGATTAATTTTACTAAGTCCAATCTCTTACATGCCTTAAATAAGGATGTGTTTATTTGAATGTAAAGTGTCTAGCATTTTTAGTTGGAATTTAAATATCTCCCTCCTTTAGCTACAAGCCCACAAGTCCAAACATGTAAAACCTGAGGCATTTCCTTTCATTGTTAAAGCTTGACTGAAATATTAAAAAAGCAATATTTATGGTAAAAATGTTATTTCAGTGGAGGTAATCATGCAGGGTTGGTAGCAAAGGTAAAGAAATCTGCTTTTTAAATATGAGAACTTGAAAGTGATACATTTGTACTGTGAGGTTAAATAAATTGGAATTTCTCAGTTCGCTTGTATGGAAAATGTTAATGCAACATTAAGGCTAGGAATTTAAGAGCAAATGTTCATGTAACACAGTTAACCTGCGGGCCTCCTTGTAGAGGATGTTATGAAGACCAGGACTTTAAAAAAGTTCAAAAAAACTAGATAAATTCATGGTGGTTAGGTCCATCGATGGCTATTAGCCAGGATGGGTAGGACTGGTGTCCCTAACCTCTGTTTGTCAGAAAAACAGCTGTTTTTCTGAAAAAACTTGAGTTGCATCCACACTGCAAGTGCATTCTTTTGACAGCAAATCAAAAACACGGGGCTTTTTGTGCACTTGGTAATCCTCATTCTATGAGAAGCCTTTTTGTGAAAGAGCTCTTTTGCAAAATGGCATGTGAAGAGGGAGGGTTTTTTTGGAAGAAGAGAGAAGAGGAAAAGCCACAGGTGCCCTGGTGGCCATTCTGTCCATAGCAATCACCGCTTATGTGCGAGAGAGCATCCAGGCAGTCTGGGCTATCTTTCGAAAAAACTCATCACTTTGTCAACGTGCTTTTGCACAAGAAGCCTGTAGCCTAGATGTAGCCTGGATGACAGGAGAGGGAACACTTGATGGTTACTGTAGTGGAAATGCGGGTGAGGTAGAGAAAATTAGGTGGTGTACCACAATCATTCCTTTAATACCTGCATCTCCTCTCAGACCCGGATGCTCTAGGCAGCCATTTGTGCTTTTTGCTTCTTATTATTTTGTTATTCTCAAAGAGCTAGCTGTTTGCTTAGGAAAGTAGTGTGTAGGAATGCACTGTTTACTTTCAACAAGTTCTGGGACAGGTCCCAAGGCCATCCACCTGGTATGGGAGTATAGGAGCGCTTGGGAAGATCACATAGCTATCTATGCTGAATGTTTCCCACCTAAAAATGCTAATTATTTGGCCTGGGAAAATATGCAAAGTATCAACGATCTTGTTAGGTTCTCAAAACAACCCGTGTGATTACTGTAGATCTAACAGGATATAAAGGCTCGGAATATTTCTAACACTGGAACCTTGGCGTAGACCAAAGCCATGGAAGGTGGCCCCACGGAGGTCCGTCCACTGTCGTCCTTCAGGGGGTTCTTGGCAGCAGAAGGGAAGTAGGCATTGCATTTTATTCTGAGGTTTGCTTAGGCTTAATGAGTATTGTATTTTCTTAATAGTATTGCATTTTATTCTAAGATTTGTTTCACTATACTTATACAGTGCTTAATATCTGAGTATTTACCTTTAATATTTGCTCAGTAATATCTTTAAGACTTCACCCAATATGTGTGCTTATTGCCTCCGAATCCCTTAAGGGAAGAACCATTGCCTCTTGGCAATAAAGTTACCAACTTTGTTCACACCATCTGGGGCACCAGGCATTGGCCGGTCAGTGGACAGGTTACTGGGCTAAATGGACCTTTAGCCTGATGCAATATGGCCATTCTTATGTACATTCATACCAAATTCCCAAACCATTGTTTTATGTTTTTATGTAGTTTGACTCCAAATGTTGCAAATGCACAGCAGTGATCTGTAAATAATTAATGAAAATAACACTGTTTACTCCCTAAAAATGTACTGATCACTTGTACTGATCATTAGAGACATCTGCTAGTGTTGGTGGGGCTGCAGAGAACTGATGTCATCAATCTATTATGTTCTTGCTGGATTACTTAATTACTGTCTCCCAATAGCCATTCCTACTGAGTAGAGCAAAAGGCAATCTTGAGGAAATAGTCTGTCATTCCAAAATTAACATTTATTTTGACCTGCCATATATGACATCTCCCACACTTTGGGGAATATATTGTACAGTAATTCTGGACTGCACCAGTTCAGACCATTATCTCATCAAGTTTGTACTTGCCTGAAGTTTGTGTGGGACACTATGAAACTCTGGACTCCATACTGTCACCCTTGCTTTCTTCTATACCACATGAAGAGGGTCTCTATCTCTCTCTGATACAATGATGTTGATCTTATTTTCTAAATACGTAGTCAGCATGTCTTGCAGCTCTGACAGAAAGCCTCGCTCAGTGTTACTGTGCTCACACAGAATCACGCTTATCCCATTGGCAACAGCATCCAGTACTTCATGGTGGGACATCTCTCCTGCCAGCGTGAGAAGAAATATGTAGATTAGCTACTAAGTCCTGCATCATTTGCAATTTATTATAAGTAGTGTATTTGGAAAGTCTCTGATCCCATGGAAGATAGGCTTTGCAAAAACGCTTGTGTTCCATTTTCTAAAATGGAATTCTATAGAAAACTTTGAAAATATAGTTCTCTCAAAAGGAGAAACATGATACAGATTACTGAAGACTGCACAACTGCTCTTTTTAAAGAATTAATGAATGTTAACTTTACAGTATTTACCTTAAACGATGTCAAACTCTCCATTACATAAAACTTAAGAGTAACAACCCCCATGTCTGCAAGAATTTTTGCTCTTGCAATTTTTCCCTCATCTCCACCCACTGGACACTTTTTACATTGCCATTTTCAGTGGTACACTAATATTCTGATGTAGTTTTCTAACATATCTTCCCTTAACACTAATAACAAACCTATTTTTAAAAAAATGAGTAACTTTCACTGTGCTATATAATCCATCTATATAGGGAGCCCTTACTTCTGAAGAGCCCTCTGACAATGAGGTACAGCACCGCTATTGTGTGTCTATCAGTTTTCCCTGGTGGACTTCAGTAAGTCCAGTGAGGCTTATGTATAGCGAACAGTGCTCTTACAGGGTTTAGTTTGCTTAATCCACACCTGGAACTTTGTACGAATGCACTTCCCCCAGTATCTGTTTACCTGAGAAACAGGATGAAGTTTAATAAGGACAAATGCAAAGTACCCCCTTAGGAAGGAACAATCAGTTTCACACATACAATGGGAAGTGATTGTCTAAGAAGGAGTACTGCAGGGATTTGGGGGTCAGAGGACAAGAAGTTAAATATGAGTCAACAGTGTGACCATTTTATAAAGATAAATATGGAACAGCCTCCTACCAGTGAGATAGAGGTCGGCTTCTACACCCTGCAAGATACTGCTCCCAGAACCAGCACACAGTGCCGCCACTTTCACTTGGGACTCTGCAAGACAGTAAATACCACAATTTCAAAATTTACTCCTTTAAGTATTCCTTTATGAATAATCATCCAATTTCTGCTGAGTTAATTAGGAGTCATAAGACAACAATCTAAACAATACTGAATTAGGGGCTCTAAAACCCTGGGTATGGAAGACTAGTCTCTCTCATAGACAATATTAAGAATTAAGAACAAGCTCTTTCCATTTGGTCTCATTGTTTGAAGGGAGGCAGTTAGGGTTTTAGACAGGTCCTCAGACCATCCGGATCTCAGGTATATTTGAGGGTCTTCTACTAATTTGCCGTTTCATCTTGAGCAGCTCCCTTTCTCTGTCTCAAAATATCTCTGTTTTGTGGCAGAAGTTAAGTATAAAATTAAACAAATTAAAGTTAGCTTTAGTAACACGCTTTCCTTACTAGCCACAAACTATAAAGCAAAGGTCCCAGACAGCAAGAAGGCCATGAAAATATAAGTAATACTAATTGTAGTGTGGAAAGGATATGTGGTTCCAAAATTAACTAATAAAATAAAAGAGCAGTTGTAGTAAAATGAGGGCCTGAAACAAAAGTCCACGTTGCACAGGCCTGGTTTGATGCCTGAGGCCTAGCTAACAATAGACAAAATGTGGCTAATATAAAGCTAAGCTGTAAGCAAAGAGGCAGGCCCTACTCACAAACTTGGCACAAACAGGGCTGTGTGCGCAAAACACTAATTGGTAATAGGCCCAGGTGTAGAACAGACATTGGCATTAGGTACTGACTATAAAACAGCAATTGGTACTGGTCATAAGTTGAAATCACATTGCAAAAGGATGGTACCACCAGCTCATTAAAAAAGACCTTGGTAACCGAGCTCCCACAGATACCAACCCAGATTCAGGAAAGGGTCTAAACTGACAGCATGATTGACAGAGATGTTCTAACTGAACCGTGAGGTACAGTGTGATGGGTGGTATCCAAGTATGGTAATCTGACATGTCAGGAGTGATGTGTAACTTGTTTGTTCCTGTATATAAATTGGTGTCTTGGGGGGGGAGAGGGGGGGGGAGTAGTTTTTGTCCAGCTAGTGGGACCTCCCACTGATTGAGCTGAGTCCATTGTTACGGGGTACGTATGCTAGTGGTTCAATAGCGTCTACTGACAACTGTTACTGTACTTTGCTTAACAATAAACCTGGCCAGGTGCCTTTGATCCTTAGCTGATTTGTAGTCTTTGGGGCCTCTCCCAGAGTGCACAAGTCAACACAGCACACATGACTGAGCGCACATGCATGCAGCCTTCTAGTTATCACTGACGAAGCAGGAGACCTGTCAGGATACCATGACAGTCAACCGTAACCTACTACATCGGTGACTCTCCTACAGCAGTCTTAAAAAAAAACCCAAACCTTCCCACAGTTCTTCTAGTAAGTGAAGGGAGAAAACAAAAATGGAAAGGCTTCGGCAAAAAAGGAGACTGTAGCTCTTGTCTCAATTAAAACTGAAAATAAAGGTAAATGGTCTCAAATTGGCTTTTAGCTAAAGTCAGTAATTGGCAATGACAACATCACTTGTTTGTGAAAGGGTATAAAAAGTAAACTTTTAAAGGGCTGATTGCTAATACCTGCCTGACCACGCTTATGTGGGTCTAAGCACCCCTAGTAATTAGCCCACTTGTAAGCATCAAATGCTTATACATGTTTTATTACTGTTCATGTATAGTAAATTATTTATTATTTAGGCTTTTTCGTTATGTTTATAGTAATTGTATAAATTCCATTCGACCTTTGAATGTAATAAAATAATGTATAGTTAAATTAGCATTTGGTGGCTTCCCAAATCAATATTAATAATTTCAAATATTAAAAACGTCAATAGATAGGTACATACTTTTGAATGGTGCTATAAAAGTATTCTTACTAGTTCAAGAAGAAGTTAAATCTCAAATTCTCATGTAAGAGATTCTACAATATTATTTTTAAGGTGGTAGATCTGTTTGTCCCAAAAAGTCTTGGGAAAGACCCTACAACAGAAGGTGCTATTGTACGAATTGTGGAAAACTATAGCTCATGCAGTTTGTGCACTCTCCCTCATTATGACAACTGGTGTAACACAAAATTCACTGTTTAAAATTCAGACTACATTAAAAAAGGTGTTTCTAGAATTACGTAGCATACAAATTACTAAATTTTTACAGTTACCAGTTTTCCATTAGACCCACCTGAAACTAGGGAGCACATCAGTCTTACAGGAAAAAGAATACACCAGTGAGAATACTTCACTAATTATTAGAGATGTTAGCTCTTGTGTAACTGACCTAGTCACGTAACTGCATGAAATTTTAGCGGTTACAGGATTATTTGATAGTCCCTGGGAGCGGGGCCAGCAGCCAGTGTGCTCTGGCCCCACCCCCAGGCAGCCCCCTGCCACCTTGTGCTGCAGCCTCTGATACAGAGGCAGCAGCGCAGGGTGGTATGTGAGAGCTGGTCTGTGGGGGAGCCAGTTTAAAAACTAGCTCCCCTTGAAGACTGGCTGCCTGCTGCACCACGCTGCTGCCTAATACAGAGGCAGCAGCGTTGGGTGCCAGCAGCTCCTGTCTGTGGGAGGTCTGAGCACCCCATAGAAAGAGGCTGCTCTGTGGGATGTGGAGCAGCCTCTGTCCACAGGGAGCTCAGACCTCCCACGGACAGGGGCTGCTGTTGCGAACCAGCCTCTGTCTGTAGCAGGTCCAGGCAGCAGTGCGAGGGTTTAGAGGGAGGAGGGGAGGTGGATCCAATGCTTGTAGGGAGCCTGCTTAAAGCCAGCTCCTCATGGGCACAGGCTCCCCCTCCCCTTGCTGCCTCTGTATCAGAGGTCGCAAGCGGGGGGAGTATGTGTAGTCAATAGGATTAACCAATAAGCCCAGGCTTATCGGTTAATCATTTACTCAATTATATGCTAACATCCCTACTAATTATAGTGGAAAAAGCAAACACACTTGTGTACTTGCGTACCTAACGTCTTCCCCATTCCAAGTGCCAAACGTATGTGAGGCAACTTGAGGTGGCTTTTGATTCTTTCAACCAAGTCTGACAGCGAGACTGGCTCGCTCAGCGTGCATAGACGTCCCATTCCAGTATATGGAAGTAGAGGCTGTGGAAAAGAATTTTAAAAATTGTGAGTGCGCTCAATGCAGCTGTTACCATTACTTTAACAAAAGCTGGTAACTAGACACCACAGTAATAGGTACGTTAGAAATAACTACACAGAGAAAGTCAATTTGAGTGCTTTGCAAAAGATACATACAATATGCCAAAGGACTAGGTAGTACATTGACCACATTTACACTAAATACTTGAAGCTGGTTTAGGTCACACAGAACCATTTTCACAGATTTAGAAAGTGTAAATGCTTTCAAGTTCCTTGAGGTCAGAATCAAGGCAAACCACTTCTGTCATCTCAGGCAAACGTGCATTGCTGATGCTAGTACTGTCCTTGATCTGTGAAAAGAGAATTTCCATTTCCAGAGCTACCAACTCGATGCCTTTTACAAGCAATGAATTCGCCATGTGTGAATTCTGTTACCTTCTGTAATAGCATTATTTCAGTCTTGTGATAAAGAAGGCTGTTCTGTGACAATAATGCTACCACCTCCAGTAGTGCCTTCTGAGTGCAGTTCAAACTAACTCGTGTCTGCTCCTCACCTTCAGCCCTGAGAAATGACAACATTTTTGGTGTTTACTAAAAATACAATTTCAGAATCTAGTTAATGAAATAACTCTCTCTTCTATTACAAAAACCAAGAAAAAGGAGACGTGGTAACAGCTCAACATACTAATATCGAAGGAACATACAGATTAAGGTGGATGAGGGAATTAAGCCATACTGCTTTCATCAAACTGAATGACACAACTGTTCCTTCTCCATCCCTGCAATTGGACTGGCACCTGTAACTATTTAGTTATCAGATTCCCTGGGAATTCTTCAGGCACTGATTTTTGTATTAATAGTAGTGGATTTTTGGATGCATTTAATAATAAATCTGACTTCCTCAGGTATGGTCCTTTTGGTTCAGGACTAGATAAGGGAAATTACAAAACTGAAAGTACAATGACCTCATTAATATGCAGATGGTTAATGTGTAGGCCAAGACATATGTGGGTTTAGCGGACGTAGCTTTTTGTATGTAACTGAACTTTATCTTAAACAGGAGGTTGAAAAATGGCCTTGGTGCCACAATGAAACCTTCAAAAATCCTTTTCAAACCCATTTAACAGTGTATTAAATGATGAGAAGAGCTGACTGAGCAATATGGGGGGGAGCTTTTCTTTTAAAGAAGCTCTTTTTATTACCAAGTATTCAAATTCCAATCTGCTTTTGTGAGTACAATGAAAATAACCATTGTAGAAAAATGTTTTAACATATATGCTAACGTTTAAGAGATCAAACAGAACATGCGACCTTCTATTTTATTTCATTGATCTGAAGGGATTGTGTTTAGTTTGCCTCACAAAGTCTAAATTTAATAGTAAGTCCAAGCTTGGATTAAAGGATGGCTATTAACTCAAGAATCTCCATCTCCAATTTAAAGGCCCACTATCCCACAGTGGAAATAAGTTCTAATAAGACATTATTACACTTTATCCAATCCTTAGAATATTACCTGTCTATTCTTTCATAAGAACTTAAGAACGGCCATAGTGGGTTAGACCAAAGATCCATTCAGCCCAGTATCCTAAACAGTGGCCATTGCCAGGTGCCCCAATTTTTTTTTTTTAATTTCTCTTCATCTGGTAGCCATTCCAAACCTCCATTTTTGTTGCCCTTTTCTGAACTTTTTCCAATGCTAATGTATCTCTTTTGAAATGAGGTGACCACGTCTGTACACTGTATTCTAGATGTGGGCATGCCATGGTTTTATATATAGGCAATAAGAGTTTCTCTCTTATTCTCTATCCCTTTTTAAAATAATTCCTAACATTCTGTTAACTGCTGCTGCATATTGAGTGGATGTTTTCAGAGAACTATCCACAATGATGCCAAGATCTCAAGTGGTAATAGCTAATTTAGTATCCATCATTGTACGTATAGTTGGGATTATGTTTTCCAATATGCATTACTTTGCATTTATCAACATTAACATTCATTTGCCATTTTGTTGCCCAGTCATCTAGTTTTGTGAAATTCTTTTGAAGTCTGCTTTGGTCTTAACTATCTTGAGCAGTTTAGTATCATCTGCAAGTTTTGCTAGCTGTTTACCCCTTTCTCCAGATTATTTATGAATGTGTTGAATAGAACTGATCCAAGAACTTTTTGCGGAAGAGATCTTCAGCAAAAAGTTCTTGCGCAAGAGCATATTCACACTGCCATGTGCTTTTTGCACAAGAGTGTGTCCACTCTGCCATGGCCACTCTTGCACAAGAAAGCTCTGATGGCCATTCACAGAATGGCCATCAGAGCACCTGTGCTTTTTCCAACGGGTCCGTCCACACATGCCTTTTTGTGCAAGAGCTCTTGTGCAAAAAGGCTTATTCCTTGTAGAAATAAGAGGAATAATGCTTGTGCAAAAAGCCCTGTCTTCTTACGATCTACTGTACTTTTTCTCATGCAAAAACACACTTTTAATGTGGACACTCCGTGAGTTTTTGCGCAAAACCAGCCGTTTTGTGCAAAAACTTTCAGTGTAGACACAGCCCACTAGATACCTCTCTCCATTCTAGAAACTGATCATTTATTCCTACCCTTTGTATCCTGTCTTTTAACCAGTTATCAATTCATGAGATCCCTCTTATCCCATGACAACTTACTTAAGAGCTTTTGGTGAGGGACCCTGTCAGAAGCTTTCTGGAAATCTAAGCCTGAGCCCATTGGTTAATGTTCACGGTTATATGCAACACCCCTCCCTCCATGCTGCAGTGTGGGAGTAGGGGGGCAGGCAGACCTGGGGAACGGGGGGGCAGGAAGGAGCTGGTGTATATGGGGAGCCACCTGCCCCCCAATGCTGCTGCCTCTGTATGAGAAGCCAGTACTCATCTGCTACAGAGGCAGCAGCGCGGGGTGGGGAGACACATAGGAGCTAGCTTTAAGTCGGCTCTCCATGAGCACTGGCTCCTGCAAAGCTGCCTACTCCCCCGGACACTGTTGCCTCTTTAAATCATGATTTAAATCCATTTGATTTAAATCAAATCCACCCTGGGACAGTCCCTGAGATTTGTCCCTAAAAAGAATGGCTCAGGTTTTGGAATCTCCCTAACATCCTCAGCCATGAAGACCACTGCAAGAATTCAGTTAGTTTCTCCACAATGACCTTATAGTCCTTGTGTGCTTCTTTAGCATTTTAATCATCCAATGGCCTCACTGGCAGTTTGGCAGGCTTCCTGCTTCTGACCTACTTTAAAAAAAAAAAAAAAGTTTTGTTATTACCTTTTGAGTTTTGGACTAGCTGTTCTTTTAATTCCTTTTTGGCCTTCCTTATTATATTTTACCCTTCATTAACTTCTGCTTTTTAAACGATGCTGCTGCTTCCGTCAGAGGGAGCAAAGCGGAGGGGGGAGAAGAGGAGAGAGCAGGTACTTCAAAGCAGCAGCATTTCAAAGGGGCAGCATCGCACAGTTGATCCCGGGCTCAGCTGTGTAGCACTGCACCTTTGAAATGTCATCTCAGCGTTTCAAAGCAACGCCGCATGGAGCTCACCCTGGGCTCCATGTGGCGCTGCCCCTTTGAAATGTCTTGGCGGTGATTTCAAAGGGACACCACTGCATGGAGCTTGGGATCGGCTGTGTGGAGCTGCCTCTTTGAAATGCTGCTGCAGCGTTTCAAAGGGAGAGTGCCATATGGAGCCCCAAGTCAGCTCTGTGAGGCATTGCGCCAAGATGGCGTTTCAAACGGGCAGCACCACACAGCTGATCCCGGGCTCCATGTAATGGTGCCCCTTTGAAATCCTGTCATGGCATTTGCATGGAGCCTAGGGTCAGCTGGAGAGTCCCCAGCTGATCCTGGGCTCCACATGGCATTTCAAAGCTGCAGCGCAGCATGGAGCCCAGGGTAAGTGGGGCACTCTGAGTCCCCAGGCTCCATGAGGGCGCTTCCACTTTGAAATGAACAAGAGCCCTGAGTGGGGACTCTTGTACATTTCAAAGCGGGCATGCCGCAGGCAGCCCAGAGTCAGGGGGACTTCCCGCTGGCCCCAGGCTGCAAACGAAGTTCCACATTTCAAAGGAGGAATGCGGAAGTGCCTACTGACTAGTCAAGTAGTCAATGGAAATTCCATCGACTACTCGACTAGTAAATTACTCGATATTTAACATTCTTAGCCTCTATCTCTCACTGCTTCTTTTACTTGGTTGTTAAGTCACATTATTGTAGATCAGAGCTACTCAACTTTGGACGCTCCAGGGCCACAATGATCCTCACAGCACATGCCGAGGCCACAACTTAAGTGTAGTTCCATATACATGCAAATATATATGCAAATAGCTTCTTCCACACTGACGGGCATGAATACAAATATTAAGGTGAGACTACACAACATGCAAGTCCTATTTAAGTCAGTTCTGCTGATATTAATACAATTCAATATTTACCCGATTTCCACCTATATGACAGCACTTTTAATGAGCAATGACAGTCTAGGAATTTAACTGCTAAAACGCATATCACCAGAAGACCATTATATTGACTACTTTTTTGTTTTGGATCCCACCTGCAGGCTGCCTGTTGAGCCCCACGTAAACCCAAACCACATGTGGTCCATGTGTTCAGTAGCCTTGTATCTTAAGAAGCACATTTCCCTTTTTGATCAGCCTGTTCCTGACTCAGTGATGCCAACCAAAAATTACATTTGACATCAAAAACAGACAGTACAAAAGTAATCCTAATTTCACTAAACTGTGGCCTCACTAAGTGAATCAAGCATAAGGAGCAGACTCATTAGAAAGATCAGCGACTTCTATGGATGATCAACAAGTAACAGAGAAATACGGTATGACAATGCAATGAGATTCTGACATTACATTTTTCAAAGCAGCAGAAGTACCTGGCAGGGACAGTAATGAGAGATGAAATCTCTGGGATCTTCTGTATGCTTGATATAACTGTTTCCAGGTGCTCAGTATGGCCCATACTGAATTCCACATGATGAGTGCCCTCAGTTGGGTAGCTAGGAGCCATTGATGGGCGTAATGGGATGGTGGTACAGGCACCTGAGAAAACAACACACACTACAGAAGTTTAACAGTTTTGCAAAATTTTATTTGCCCACGTAACTGCAGAAGACTTCATTTGTGTGACAGGTGAATAAAACTGAAATTATTCTTTGTCATCATCATCATAACTATGGGCAAGAAGATTTTGTTCTTGTGTTAGTAAATATCATAATTTTGCTAGGTTGTTTATGGTCATACATAAGACTCAACTTATCTTTATCGTGTAAAGTAATCTCGTCAGTATTTTTATGATGATTTGGCCTGTTAAATAACACCTCTTATTCATGAGTAAGCATAGCACTTTGCCTTTTAGTCTCATCATGTAACCTCTCTGTGGTACCCATAGCAACTGCTTACACTTGCTTGGTAGGAAGAGACAGCTAGATAGTCAAGGCCCTGAACTAAGACTAGGAAAACCTAGATTTGGTTCTCATTTCAGCCACTCTATAGGTAGGCTTCCTGCATATTTATAGATTTCAACGTCAGAAGGAACCACTGAGATTATCTGGTCTTCTATATAAAACAGGCTACAGAGCCTCCATTATTTTACTCTTAGGCTCTTGCCCAGCCCTGCTCTATCAGCAGACTGAATATAGCCTGCCAAGCTCTTTCATCCAGCCCACGCAGCTACTCCCAGTCATAAGAACATAAGAACGGCCATACTGGATCAGACAAAAGGTCCATCTAGCCCAGCATCCTGTCTGCCAACAGTGGCCCGCACCAGGTGCCCCAGAGAGGGTGGACCGAAGACAATGATCAAGCGATTTGTCTCCTGCCATCCTTCTCCAGCCTCT